ATGCCTGCTCCCTTTTAGGCGTAAGTTTCTTGAGATACGCTGTGAAAACCGGATAGAAGCCTTTTTTCCTTCCTTCTAATATACTTACCCCCCTCAAGAGCAAGAAAATTTATAAACGCAGTTGAAGGGGACAGCAGCAGGGCACTTATCCAGCTTTGATTACCTAATTGACCATGGTGTGTTGTACAGCGTTACTAGTATAGCTTTAGGGAAGCATCTTTTTATTACTCCTTTCATTCCTGTCAATTCTTTATGATATTGTTTCTTCTTTGAATGGGAGACAAATAAACACTTCCTTCTCCTCAATAGCTGGATGTTTCATTTTCTCACCTTCTTCTTTACCATATTTCTTGATAAACCCCAGTATTCCTTAGGCATTTCTGAGTAAAGCCTAATTCTCCTTCCAGCTTGTTGGGTGAATATAGTTTCCTGGCTCAGTTGCATAGTGTCTTCACTAACCTACGCCTATAGCTTATGAAACAAAAAATGTTACAATGAAGATATTGTTCAGTCCAATATTCTTTTCTATACATGAACTTTTAGGTAATAACACCGTTTCTTCTTCTTATCTCAAGGTCCAAGAAGTTGAACTCATCTTTATGTTCATATTCCGTGGTGAATTTAAAGTTAGCACGGATCTCATTGAGACGGACAAATAATAAAAACAAGTGATTTATTCCATTAAAAACAACAAGCGTATTATTAGCGTATGGGTGACAGTAGGTTTTTTCATTAATAGCAGAACTCAACCGCATCTGTTCGAGATAACCCATGAAGATATTGCCCTAAATGAATCTCAACCTCATCAGTTTGTCGGTAGAGCTGGTTTTTAAATTTGAATCGAATGTCATTTTGTACAAAGCTGCAGTAGACGCTTCATCTTCGTTTTTGGTGTAGTAGTAGTCAGTTTACAAGTGATGTCAGCTGTTTCCATTACTAATATGACTAATATTTGTAAATAAGGTGGTCAGATCGTACGACACCATGAGTTTATTTAAAAACATAAACTGACAGTAACTTAAACAAAAAACTGTAATGTTTACATCTCGGATAGATTAATTTTATAATATTTTCTTCATTACCATTCAAACATTGAAATATGTTATTTTCATTTTTTTTTATGACCAGATAGTGAGTGATCTGAAGTTGGTGAGATCCTGTGAAATGGAACGATGACATCATTTTTTACCGCAAACTTGGTGGGTTTCTTGTTTTTTTTCAAAATTTATCTAGCGAAGCAAGATAATAATCACCTGATACACTGAGCTTTATTGATTTTATTATGCTGTTTCGTTAAAGGTCATAGCTAAATAGGCTGCCGCCCTTCGGATTCCAAGTAGGGTGTAGAGCTCCAGAAATACAGCAACATTTCACTCTCTTCTCTGCAATTTTTACTCACTTCTTACACGATGTCCCCTATGTCAACCTCCGATCCACACGCAACTCATCATTTTTCATTCCGATTCTACTTGAGGGTTTGGTCTGTATCTTTGGTTGCTTCTGTGATAAGCAAACGTCATCCAGTAAATAATACTGTTTCACTGTGTGATACATCTAATAAAAAAACTAATGTGGAATTACTTACTACCACAGTGCCCAAGTTTTACACCCATATTAACCTTCCAGTCCCCCTTAGAAGGTGTACCTATGCAGCAATAAGATCCTTACAGTCAAACCAACAGTAACTTAGAAGCAGGTGGAAACACTGACAGAAGTAATATTCGAAAGTTATGGATGTGAAAAACCATATTTTTCAAGTATTGGTTTCTAGAGATTTAACTGATCGGTTACAGGATTTCATCGTGAGCTGACATCGGTTAGAGAACCATTGGAAAACCTGGGAAACCTTGTAACCAATAAGTCAGATCCCCACAAACCTATACCTGAATATCAATGAGATGCTCACCAGCTACTTGCCCTATTCAGATAGGGTTCTAGTGGGAAGTTGTGAACAGTAAAGTACAGCAGGTCGAATGTGAGGACAGATACTCACTGGCTAGTGGCCTCACTATGTCGTGAATTGGCAGAAGTTAGAATTCACGGACTTGCCATTTGATCGGGTCCCAGTGGCTTAATCGTCTATGAGCTCGCCTTGTAACTGGAAGGTCCTGGGCTGGAACCCTGAGGTAGGTGTATGCGAGCTGCTGAGAGTCCCAAACTAGGCTGACGAAACAGCTGTCCAGTACTCCCTGCAAGTTTTCTAATGGCTGTCTAACCGATATCAGCTCATGATGAACTCCTGCAACCAATCGTATTTTTTTCATGAATTATATCATTTTCACTCATTCAGGGGATGTTAAATATTATTCTCGTTTTATGCGACAAGAATGTTCTTCCCTATAAATTCTCCTCTTTATGTTTTTACACTTATAAGATAGAATTTATTGTCATCATTACAGTGTTAGCCAGTTATACAGCCGATGCGTTTATGCGTAGAATAACAGATGAAATATGGGTTGACAGAATAAACAGTACTTTTGTATAATAGCTTGAGTGTAATTACAAAATGTTGTGAAATGAGAGACGATAATGGGATTATTCATGATACATTCATATAATGTGAGGAAAGAAAACTGACAAATCAGTTCACGGATGTACAGATTAGGGTATATTTACCAGCTTGGTTAAAAAGTGTCCCAATGGCTTAATAGTCTACGAACTCTCCTCGTTACCGGAAGATCCCGGGTTCGAACCCCTATGTGTAAGCACTACTGGAGTCTCAAACTAGGAAGAAACATCTGTCCAGTGGTTCTCTGGCAGTTGCCAGCTGGTTATCAATTCCCGTAATCAATCAGATCTCTATAAAGCACACTTGATAAAAAGCGAAATATCAAACCTGTTTCGTAAGTACCAAGCACGAAATAATGTTGATAAAACTGTGGTAAGCAGTTCATCATAAAATGATTATTCCATGAAATGAAAAAGTTGGAGTCATGTACTGACTGAAGAGATAAAATCACTAGTAATAAATCAAAGTAGTACAGATGGAAATCCCTATTATGCTGAGACAATGACAGAATGATAGGTACAAGTTTATAAAAGATCGTGACTAAAACTGTTAACACATAGAGAAAAAGAAATAAATAATAAAAAACAACATGGAAAGATAATTGGAAAAGATATTCATGGAGAGGAAAAGAACTTTAAATCAGAGTCTGGCCACGTTAAGAACAACGCCTGAATGAATTCTTTTTGAATACAAAGTTCAGGTTTTGTAGGTAGCGAACTGTGAGTGATAATGACTCGCAGACGTATCTATCAAGTACGATAGAATCCAACCTTTTATATATATGATTTCGCTTTATCTGAACCTAGCTGGTAAATGTTCTCGAATGTATAAACGAATCTGCCTAGTAGTACACCCTATATAACTTGTACAACAGGAAGAGTTAAGAGGGTTATTTCAAGTAAAAAAATATCGTATCCACTGCATAACTTGCTATCATCATAGGGACAAATGTTGTATTTTATAACTTCATGAACATGAAGAGGGGAATTCATTAAAAACAATATGCACTTTTCAATGATTCTCTAACCGATATCGATCCGTATCAAAAATGAAAAAAATCAAATCCCCATGAACTAACTCCTAAAAATTAGTCTGGTGTTCACTAGTCACTGGTTACTACAGAACGAAGTTTCCTGCAATTCTAGTGAGGAAGTCGTGACCAATGAGGTTCATCCGGTCAGAAGTGAGGATAAATACTCGCCAGTCATGCTATTGGCTGGTGATTGCGCTAAGATCGCGAATCAGTAGAAGTTGGAATTCATGGGTCACGGGATCGGATCCAAGTGGCTGAATGGTCTACGACCTTGCCTTCCCGGATTCGGATCCTGGTGGGTACTCCTGAAGCATGTCACTTTAGGATGAAACAGCCACGCAGTACCCCCTACTGGTTTCCAGTGGCTCTCTTAATGATATCAATCCTTAACGTTTCATTCATGATATGAGAATATTTCAGACTTGTAAAGCTACTAATTGTGTCTGCATTCTATCTCCCGCGTGAAGTGGTACAATAAGGTGAGCAATATTGAGGTTAGGCGTCGAGTGCTAGGTAAGGAAGGGAAATCAGTCGACGAGGCTGTGAAACTACATCGACTGAGATGGTTAGGACATGTGTTATGTATGCGTAGCCTAGTCATCGCCTTCCTCGACGGGCAATGTTAGCTGATATAGGGTCAGGTTGGGAAAGAGCTAGCGGCGGTCAAACCAAAACATGGCACCAGTCAATTAAATCCACAACAGTTAGTCTAAGCCACGTAGGAAGGTGTAGACTTCCTGACTGGTTGGGGTCCTCGAGACGGTAAAAACCAATGGTTGGAAACAATTGGTGACATGGCTCAAAATCGTTCTCAATGGCTAGCGCAGATGCATCCACTCCTTGTGACTTATGATTTCCAATGAAACTGTATTGTTCTTCGTTATTACTATTCCTTTTTCTCACATCTCTGTTTACTGTCTATATTATGCATTTCTCCTACTTTCTTCTCTTCCTTTGTGTGCTACATGGAGTGTGGCGACTTGAACTGCCGCACATATATGCAAAGTTCTATGTCGAAACCCGACCGACCGACCGAATAGTTTAACTGAAAGATAAACCGTCGAAAATATCCATCAGGACATTAGAGGGAAAAGAACAAGAAGAAAGATAAATAGCCTTGTTGAACAATTATTATTTATTCCAGAGTTTAGGCAGATCTCATAGGCTTAATTGAACTAAGATTTAAAAATGCCTAGATGAAGAAATATCTCGAATTCTCTAAGAGGACAAAACTTGGACACTGTGGTAGAGTATAATTCCATTAGGGATAAAATTTATTTTTGGTAAATACCCTCACAGTGTTATATAGTCAATATTCCCGAATTTTCTGTTTTTCTTAAAACCACTAAAAGGAGGGAAGATTATATGATATATTTATGGTAAATTGTAGTCAACTTTTTATTATAATCCATTGTTTGTTAAAAAATACAGACCTACTAAAAAAAAAGAACAAATTACCTTCCATTGAATAATTAAATTATTCGGTTCATTTCCATAGACCAGAAGATAATCAGGATTAACTGAAGTTGGTGTCGGCGGTAGGATGCACAACTCGTTTACACTAGCTGATATAGAGGGGATAATTTCACTGGGTAAAGATTTACCAATATGATTTATCAATTGAACACGAAAGTGATAAATAACATCTGCGTTCAAATGGACAAAAGCTCGTCCAATTCCAGACGGTAATGTTGAAAGATTTATGATGTTATTGTTATTATTATTATTATCACCATCTTTATCTGATAGTGACTGATTATTTGTTTTGATATGTTCAATGATTTCTGATTCTGGTACAAGATCAGCTGAACTCCACCGATCTTTCAGGATAGCTTCTTTAACAATCATTTGAGCGGTTTCTAATGAACTTTCGTTTAACCAGGGTAAATGAGCGTTACTCATGCTATCATTCTTGGTGTACCGTTTAAACTTATTTATTTGATGATTTTCAGTGTTCACTGGTTGAATAGGATTCACTTCTGTTGGTGAATAACCTTCTAAAGGACGATAATATCCAGTAATGTAAGTGACTAAAGCACTTTTAATGTCAGCATTGTTCGTCTCGCCTATCTGCCATGTTAACATTATATACGGTGCCAATTTACTTTGATAGTCACAGTGAAGTTTCAAATATTTTGGAGGATCAGGACGACCTGTAATGAAAAATAAAGAAAAACATCAAGCACTAGAGTTTGATAGGAGTGAACTCCAGTGACTCATTTCAGTCACTGGGAGAGATTGTTGGGTATTGTGTAGTATGCTGAAAACGTGTTACAAAGAGGAGTTCAGTTTTCGTTGATAAGTGCTTCAGTGCTCTTCCATCTCATGAAGCATCTGTCACTGAAGAATAAATTCCATTACAGTTTGGAGTCTTCAGAGCTGACCGTAATGCACAGCGCAGTTAATCAGTCAGGAAATCAACACTGTGCTCGCTTTGCAAGCCCCGGCTGTTTCAAATCAATCAGAAAGATTCCCCAAATTCCCTCAGATTCAGTGACAAATCAGTGGGTATGAAACCGAAAATAATTTAGTAATAAATAAATAATAATAAAACAGTTTTTGTGATACAGAATGGAATTCTCAGCATTTTATAACAGTATTGCATCCAGTTAGTACATTAACAATAAATAAAATTCTACATAGATTAAGGATAATCTCAGTTAGTTTTGACAACAAAACTGAAAAGAGTTTGAAGGTGTTAGAAAAGTAGACGCTAGCATATTTACTGGCGTAAACGGTAACAAAAGGGTCGAGATATGCAGTGTGAAAGAATGAAGATGAATGTTTTAAATATAGTTTGTAAGGAAGAAAGAAACAAAGCAGCACAAACAGAAAAAAGAGAGAGAAAAGAAAAAGAAAGAAAAAAACGTTGTACCTATAAATGATATGAGTAGGAAAGACGAGATCCAGTTGTTCTACTGACTATTTAATAAGTTATAGGTATCGCACCTAATGCTTTCGTTATTTTTATTTTTTTTATTTTTTTTATTTTTGATTACAGCTTGATGCCACACCGTATTTTCAGTACAAGTATGGCATTTTCAGCATGGATATCGGCAGCCCAAATTTCGCAGGCCGACCATAGATATCGGGTGTGCGTCGGTAGGGGATCGAACCCCGGACCATATGCATGGTCGGCGAGAGTCTTAACCACTGTACCACCGACGCAGAGAAAACTAGCTAAGTAGGGTATAGTTGAGTATTTGTACTTGCTAGTGCGAGTATATAGTTTTCTACATAGGCTTCTGGTTCTGCCTGATGAGATGCAAAGGGAGAGTTGTGAATGAAGAGGGTGGTGTGAATTAGACAGAATGGATTTGGCCCATTTTTCACATGAGTCCAAGTGTCTGTCGACCAGAATATTAACAAGCTGGTTAATTGGCATATAGATGGACTTTTCACTTCGTGAATTCACTTGCAGTTTACACAGTTCCAGGAGAGATTTAACCACAGTTTCCTTTGGAAACCTAAATTATTGAGTTCAAAACATGTAGTCTGCTTGATACCGTATGTGGATGGTTTGAATTGTTTCAGCTGTCTGAACTGAGTCAAATTAGGCATACCACTAATGAGCTCGGCCGAAAATAAGTGAAACTGCTGTCCAGTGTTTAGATCATTTCAAACTGGCTAGAAGGTATCAGTGATTAATGTTAGTGGTATACAACTACTCAATTCAATCAATAAGTAGTATATAGTTCTATTCATATAATTTAGAGTAATGTTTTTAGACATAATGAGGAGATGGGAAGATATCCTGACCACTGAGTCAGGGTGTCTCTAAACTATGCTGCATAATCACAAAATGAATTATAAAAACAAGTTAGCAGCTAAGCATTTCCGATCTAAACAATGAAGGCAACGTATGAACTGATGTCAAAAGTTAAGCAGAATTTAATCCTTGCAGTATTATCCATGGTGATCCATGATCAATGATTAAACTGAATATTTTAATGCTTTAACACTTCGAAATGAACAAATAAACCAAAGAAATTTGTTTAGAACACATGTTTCGTCCTAGGTGACTCCGTTCAGATTCTAAGCGACAGAGACAATGTTAAGCGCGAAACCTATGACTTGCTTTGTTGTTAATAATCATAATTTTAGGCTCTTTTATTTCTCTCTTATTTTGTATTCTGTAGTAAACTCCTTCTTAAACATACTTAGCTACCTAAATTATTAACATTGGCTTACTTTTTTGTACTTTACTGTATTCCTTCCATTGTGTATCTACTGGTTCCGACTATATTAGCACTATGAGTAGTACAAAATTTTCCTGTCATTAACCATCATGTAATTATTTGTTTTGTGGTTGTTTTTTTCTTATTTTTTATTTTTTTCGGCAATATTAACAGACAATCATTGGTTGTGAAAGCCATTATCACCACCTTAAAAATTTTTTATTATGCAGGATTACTCACACTTCCACTACAATCACTGCATTAGACCTGACAATAAAAAACAAAACAGCAACCCTGAAATGTTATTTTATGATTGTTTAGAGTTGTTTCAATCAAATTAACTGATCATCTTGGAGATAAACATTCTTAAATATCATTTCATAACTTCTTGTATGACTATAGCTGCTTTACTGTCACCATGCATAATCATATCATAGCTTCCACTACCCAATACTGAGTTATTATTATATGCTGTTTATTTTCCTTTATACTTCTTGGTACTTTTTCGCATTTATAATTATTTTTGTGTTTTTCCTGTGTTTTTTTGCTGTTGGTGTCTTTAGATTTTTTTAAATACTCCTCTTAAATGTTTGTAAAATTAGATGCAAATATTGTAGATATGTGCTGAAAATTCCATACTGTACCACTAGTACTGTTTCTGGAATAAAGCAAATTATTATTAGTAGTAGTTTGGAATATATTAAATGTTGGTATTAAAGCTAAAACTTCAAAAATGCCTTTCGCACAAAATGGAGTCATTTTGACTCAGTTATTTAAAGGTGGACGCCATGACATTCATCCTTGGTATCACTTTCAATTAGAGCAGAATCATCAGTACTCTGTAATATAGATACACTAACTGAATGCTGTAGGAATGAACGCGAAAATATGAAGAATCCTTCTCTAACCATAATAATAAAACTGATATAATTGACTGAATAATAAACCAGCAAAGGTCGAGTGCATCCAAAACATACACATAACCAATAGTTATAGTTTACAAAGTCAATGGTTTGTTTACCTTGTATGACGAGATGTATAGAAGAGTTTGCACTATCCAGTGGTGTGTTGGCTATACACATATATACACCAGAATCACTGGGCTTCAGTTTAACAATCTTTACATTTTTACCATTTGAAGATAAATTGAAACGTTCATCATGTTGATAAGCATCCTGTAGTGTTATGTTATCTCTAGAAGAATGGAAAAAAAGACGATTACTGCCTGTTGCAACTGTCATAAAAACCTTAAGAATTAAGACCGTTCACCAATGGTTTAGTCGTCGAATGCTTGCCAACCACATACGTAATCCGGTTTCGATTGCTCGCCAATGAGATCCTATACTTCACCCAGTTTACCAGCCAAGAGTCAGTTCGGAAATAAGGCCAGCTTGGAGATAAAGCAGATAATGTGTTAGAGAACTAGACAGAATCGGAACACAAAATCTGAACCGAAATGGTCTCGCCTTGGCCTGTAATCATCACATGACGATCAAGATTACAGAAATAATAGAAATAAACTGCTCAAACTAACTTAATACATAACATTAGGTGAAGAAAAGTTGAAAAGTTTCAGCTTGAATATTTAGAAAGACAAGTATTTTAAAGTCTGTAGCGTTCTCTTTTATGACCCTTGAACTTAGCTGTTTTTTCATTATTCTCTTCATCATATTACCGAAATAAGCACATCTGTGGAGGAAACAGCGAGTCTCATATCTTTGTCCCTTCCCCAGTCACATTTATCTTTGTTTACAGTCTTTACTGTCTTAAAAGATACGGTGTATTCGAAATTAATTGTTCAGGGACCTAGTGTGTCATAAAAAGCATTTCCAATAGACTGTAGCAGACTTTCATCAACGACTCTTCTATTCCCTTGATCCATAATGAAGACAAAATGGTCGGCTGATCGATAAGGATAAGCAGTGACGAACTCTCTCAGGCGACGAAATAGCCTTGATCCTTCTGCCTGATAAATATGCAGAAGGAAATGAAGGAGATGGATTAGACCTAAGCTGAGTAGACCGTTGAGCGACATCACACTCCAGGCAGCTTGTTAAGTAGGAACCAAAATGGGAAATGACGAGTTGTGTGTAGCTGCTAATGTGACATGGAGAAGGCAGTGTGTAGAGAATATAAAAACTTGTGGACGATCGTGGAGCATCCTAAAGAAGAAGAGTGAGAATTGATGTGCTGCTGAAGCCCTATGTTCCATCCGGAACCCATGGAGATAATAATAATAAACGAACATAAATACGCATACTGAACAAATAAGTCCACCCATGACATGTCACTGCAGGATTATCCTATTATTCTGCCTACTTCACCTTAAATTGTTCTTGTGCGACCAGTCTGATCACTGATTTAACTCTCTTATTTTATCTAAAACTAATTCTCACAAACATTTCCACCATTCCACTGTTTCACTAATTTCCTAGATTAATTATCTATCATTTCGTTGACACGCTATTATTATTGCTATCATTCCCTGAGTGAAACAAAGGGTTTCATCAACACATCTCTACTTTCTTCTATTTCCTGCTGTTCCATTCAGCTGGGTTCAAGATCGCCCCATAATCTCTCATCTCCTCCATGTCACCCTCATAGTGGCGACCCACTCGTCGCTTCCCATTGGGTTTCCACTCGAGCGATGGCTTGCATTAAGTGTGATTTCATTCAACGGTCCCCTCAACGGATGCATGATCCATCTTCATTTTCTTCTACACATCCGCCGAGCGATTGGCTCTTGGTTGCTTCATTACCTGCCAAAGTTTTCTGATGCTAATTATTTTTGGCTGGCCTTTTGATCTTCAGTATGGAGCCAGTGAAGGCAACTGTTGATAAGAGTCTCCACTAGCCTGTTTGAATCCTTTTCGTCGCATACGCGCAATGCAACTTCCTGACCCATATAGAGGAACTGACTGACTTCACATTTGTATTGAAAATCTGAATCTTGTTCTTCAGACTAGCTGAGTGCAAAAGATTTCCAAACTAATTTCACAGTGATAAAGGCGTGTCTTGCCTTCCTGATTCTGACTGGCTTTGAAATCTTCATCTGTATCGTCCGCCTGTGGCTGAAAAGATGCTTCCTAGTTAAATGAAAGAAGTAACCTCTGTCAAGTCTCTCTCGCTGATGATGATCGCCTTGACATGCTGACAGTGACTAATTATTGTTCTCAGATTTATCACCTCTAGACTGGGAAATTCTCCACTACATCGAAATCCGTCAACATTTTACAGTTAACCAGTGATGACCTAACTGAAAAGCAAATATCTCTTCTCTCAATCCTTTTGTCTTCTAAATGTCTAAATGAGAACTTTTCCTGTAATGAAGTCTGTAAGTCAGAGGTATATAAGTGAATCCGTTTGATTTTTGTACAAGAATAAGACATCTACACGTACCGTCATTGTTTTGATTTGTCTCCAAGTAAAAAGTGAATTAAAAGCATTTCTTTACTTAATCTATTAGCAAATACTTACTTCTTCCATAATAATTTCAGCTGTAGTTCATGCATTGGATCTGTTTCAACTTGACAAGCAAGACTGACTGTAGACCCTTCTGTGAGATATTTCATTTTAATTCTTTGATTAACTTTTTCACTGAAAGATTGTTCAACTAATGGACCAGATAGAATACGTGTCTGTCTTCTTACTAGTAATTTTCCTGATGATTTAGAAGTACCAAATATATTCGATGCTTTACAGACATACTTTCCACTGTGTGATAATTTTGAACGCTTTATAAAAACAAGAAGCAATGCAAAGAAAACTGGAAAGTCATGACACAACTTCAGGAGAATGTTAAGTTAGAAAACAGTCAGTCCCTGGGAAGTCAAGAAGCTGAGTTCTACACTTGTCAGTACTCACCAGCACAGCATGTTGGCGACTGTAAGGAAATTAACGTCTGTTTCACGATTAGAACCGATTTCATTCTATAATTGACCACATGTGGGACTGCGATGTACATGCGAATAGGAAATCAAATGATAACCATTGTTGTTAGGTCCCTTTGGATGTTGGCTTAGGTGTTCTGGGTTCCCGAATAATAATTGACATACTACCATTTAGCGTATTCACCACATTGCACGCCAGATCAGTTAATTTTGATCGATGATCAGAACAAACCAGCCATGTTCACTTGACACGCAAGTGGTGTGTGATGTGTACACCTTATGCGTATAAAAATGAAGCGGCACTCCTAACAATTCGCTGTCAGTCCACTAGGTTTATTATAGCGTGGAAATAACGTGAACTCTTAGTATATGTTGGGGAGAATATTCACCAATTTGGACACACATATTTTTGACTGAACACTAATCAGCAACTGCTGTAATGTGTCTAGTCATATCTTTTCGTGCAGGCTGAATTGTGTCAGTCATGTTTGCTACGTTGCCACAAGGCTAGGTGCCTCACCATCACAGTGCACTGTGAATTGTTGGTATTAGATGGTTGGAGGCAATCGGCAGGAAGTCTTTGACCTAGATTTCGTCCCAAGTGGAACTCATCATCAAGGCGTATCTGCAACCTCGAAAGAACTCAAGTCCCTTGTGAGATTAGAACCCTTGTCACCCTGTACTGTAGTGAGAGACCTTATTAAAGTCCAAGGCTTCCTGCCGATTGCCTCCAACTATGTAATATCATCAAATCAACGTGCACTGTGATGGTGAGCTACCTAGAATGGTGGCCACATTGCAAACCTGACTGATATAATTCAGTCTGCACGAAAAGATAGAACTAGACACACCACACTAGTTACTGACTAGTGTTCAATCGAAAATATCTAGTTAATTCCTACAGGAGGTCGATTGCGAACCTGAATAGCTCAGTGGTAACATCTTTGGCTGCAACACTTGGTGACGAGGGTTCAAATCTCAGAAGATAAATGAGTTCCTTCGAGGTCGCAGATGCGCCTTGCTGATGAGTGCTAACTAGCATGAAACCTAGGTCCAAGGCCTCCTGCCGATTGCCTCCAATTATCTAATACTAACGATGAACACACGTATGTTGTACAGGTAGATGCAAAGATTTGTTGATGAAAGTTTTATTGAAAATATATTATTGGATTTGATTTAAAGTTTAAAAAAGAAGATAACTGCGGCATATTTACCACATGTTTTACTGAATTTTGAAGGTAGCTAAAAGATCTTTGACGGTAGACACATACAAATACATCAAAAAGGAACTTATGATCACTGTACATTGCTTCAGTTTACCAAAACATGTAGGAAGTTGAATGACATGAATGAAAGAGGAATAACAATAGATATACTAAATTTGATCGCGGTTAAGATAAACATAGGAAATGTGAAACAGAAAGAGAACTTGAAAAAAGGAAAAAATATAAAAAGTTAGAATAAACCGTCTTGTATTTAGAAGAGACAAGAATGAATTTCAGCTGCTGCGATGGGATCTATGTTAGTTCAGTAGTAAAGCAAACAACGACAAAAGAAATAATAATCTAGATAAACAAAAGCCGATATCCTCTGTATAATATTTGGCCGTCAATGCTCATTAGCGTAGTGGATGGTACTTGGTGCTTAAAATAACAGGTTGGAGTTCCAAAAGGTCCGTTATAAGTCACTGGGAACCATTTAAAGGTGACTAACAAGTGCCTATTTTCACAAGACGTGTGCAATAGATTCCACTACCGGCTATCACTGATGGAACTACTCCATGATGTATGCCTGATACGCTTCAGCTTTCTTCATGATTCATCATTATTAGTTAAATTTATGCTAGAAAAATAGACATAACATTCGGATGGTTTCAAATGGACTCAATCAAACTGATTACAGCGTTGATAAGCTCAGCCTCAAATGAATGAAGCTCAAACTTCTATCTGACTGGCTATCAAACACCAGTGACTGATGCCAGTAGCATCCAACTACCTATGCTGATCAATCATTAGTACATAACACCATGTAGTTTATGCCACCCCAAAGTATAACTGATCTAATCCCCTACTATGCAAATAAGCATACAAATCACAATGATAGCCGAACATGTTATGGCTCGTGTTTGAGCCTCGTTACAGATATTAAATACTAGATAAATTGAATAAACCCATGTAATCATTCTTTTAAAAATAGCGAATTTAAAACTATATGCCACAATATTATCCATGATAATCACTTTTTGAAGAGAAACGGTAAGAAAGCTTTCATTTTTAGACGAAAACTGCCGTCTGAAGGCGGGAAAAGACTTTCATCAACTTACAAAAATTACCAGATTCCCCTTTTCCACTTTGTAGTCGCTTTCCAGACTGTAAACCGATCTCAGATCCTCTCCGTTCAGGAACCAGGTGACTTCAGCCTCAGGTGCACCGAATGTTTCACAGAATAAGGTAACTTGTTGACCTTCAGAAATATACTGTGTACCTTCTATAACATTTATAAATGCAGGCGGTTGATTCCAGACAAGTATGTAGGCATTGACGATATTCGAACCGTGTATATTCTTTAGAAGACACTGGAACACTGCTGAATCATGGACTGTTAAATTGTATAGAAATAGTACCTTTAGTTTAGAAAAGAGGATTTAAAGGTGAGAGAACACAACATTTTTATCCAAGTCATTGTTAGTGTTAATGAAAGAATCACACATGGTAAAATATGAACTGAATAAGTAAAACCGGTATTCTAGTTAATCCGAATAACTTGAGTGCCGCTTCGTGGTCTGTTCTATGCTGTTGTCATTTAATTTTGTCCTCACGGTAGCATGAGTCTAGTGATTTCAAACAATTTACTCGTCTGCTTCTCCATCAGGACTCGAACTATAATCGTATCAGACTGGCGTAGACTAATAGCTGTGATTCTTTTCAGTAGTGGTCATCTTGTTAAATAAAACTTTGTGATCTTAGCTAGCAAAACTATATCAGAGCTTTAAAACACCTTCAGAGAAATTCCCTATTAAAACCAACTTTATGACCCCTCCCTATGATGGAATTTCCGATAGATGATATTGAATATCCATTTCTGGGGTTAACTGAATCGAACTATTCTATTTGTTCTTGAAGCCATTTAAGAATGAATTCTGTAGCTATGACCCGCAGAAACTAATGGATTCTCCATACGTACATTTGACCACACATACATATAAATTCGTAAACACAGTTGTCAAATATCCAAATCGCTGAGATCCTCGACCTGTCGTTCGTTCCAGAAGATTAAGCTTAATACATCCAATAAAATGTACTGTAACCGACACGGAACCACAGAAAATTTGCAGTGATTGATCAGTGCTAAGGTCTGTATATAAACGTTCATATAATATAAGGGAATACTTCTGATAGTATTTCTCCAATCTTCTGCCAGCCAGTACACGACATAGCAATGACAGCCTTCTTTTCACCTCCCAATGGACACCAGTTCGAATAAACAAACTATTCAATGTTCACCAACAGTGGCAACAGCGGAATGTAACATAGTCGTTTGGACGCCGTGAGAGGGGTTTACAGGGCAATATAATTTTGTTCCCTCTGCGGAAATGAATTTTACTGCACAGTAAGTTCCACTGAGTGTTATTGTCAGTCCTTGTTTAGTTGTGACACTTTTGTGATCACCTTCGAGTGGTATAGAGATATACACATCCAGTTTGGCAGCTGATTTGAATCATTTGTTTGACGCTTCTGTAGTGCTCGATGAATTTCAGAGGATAGTTATTAATTAGTAATATTTTACTGTGGTTTTGTATTTCTGCTTCAATGGTAATCTGTGTACATATATGTTGAATTTGTTTGAACGAGGAGTTAACTAACGCCTTGCTCTACTGGAGTAGACAGAAACTATGGTAATTTAGATACTATCCTACCCCCTATAAATCCATGAAGTTTCGGTAGCAGTGATGTTTATTTCTACGAGGTGGTGTTGCTAGCCTCATGCCCAACCTTCCCTCTTTACCAATCTTATTACTGGCTTAGCTAGGTAAAGAAGTGCGTCAGCCGGGGATCGAACCCCGGACCACTTGCATTGTCAGCGAGCGTCATACCGCTGTGCCAACAACGCACCTAGCTCGCTAATGTAGTTAGCCAGAAATCGAGGGGTTTGAACTGATCGGTTCTCCAAGCTGAGCTAAACAGGGTACACTGCCGAGAGAAGTGACCATCCACTGTCTAGATCGCTTCTGGCTGGCTGGCCAACAAGTACTAATGGTTGATGTGACTAGCTGTACACTACTCACATCAACCAATCAGTAGTTTATGGTAATTCACATAACTAAAATTAGGAAAATTTGTCAGTGAAAAATGTTACCCCATCGTTGCGACAGACTTGTTTAACACTCACAGACAATTCAAATGAAATATTAAATGGGGCAGATACATATGCTTAAGCGGCACTTTTGATATGGTAATAGTAATGTAATACCCAATTCATTGGAATTATATATTTCGACAAATACTTTTTCACACGATAACAACGATAAAAATTCTACTTTATTGTGCAATTCAAATTTCATTATGCCAATAAAAATTATAATCCTCGACACTTCATATTCTGCGTACAAAAACACAGAGAAGAAGATACTTCGATTATCTAACCAGCAGATAGTTCTACAATTACATAAATAAATATGTACTCAACTGAACGTCACACATAACACTGCTTGGATTTCTTATCACCACCTATCTTTTTAAATGAGGGTTAGACAGAATTGGGATTCAGCACACTGCTAGTCGAAAGCTGAACAAAGAGCAAATATTCACTAATTGGTAATTCGTTTCCTGTGCAAAATATGGAGGACATGAATCTGACCATCGGAGTACCAACCTTATGCTTTAAAGAGTTGTTATTGAGATGCACATTTAATGTATAGTTTACCTTCAACGACAATATCTACAAACAGAAAAACTAAACTGCCACAGGCTCTCTTACTGGCTCACTTTTGGCAGTCTGCCTTATTGCCAGTTTGAGAAATAGGATCTTAAAGTCAGAAGTAGGCAAATTACCGCTGTACAAAAAGTATGTCAACGACGCTTTTATAATCTGTCATGATGATTCCGATTTAAATTGCATCTTACAAGAATTTATAATCGCCATCCTTCGGTTAAATTCACAAGGGAATTAGAAATTAATCAAAGATTCTATTTCCGGATGTAGAATTCACAAGAAGAGACGATGGAACTCTGAAAAGATCTATACTTAGAAAATCACCATGTAATCGCCAACTGTCAAATTTCTACATTTGGATAACTGTCAGTAGCGAAAGAGTTCTCATCATTTCACTGGCCCACCATATCAGCAGAATTTGCAGCATTGACCGCTTAGAATTTCCGAGCTCAAAATGAACACCCGGCACCTTTCATGGAGAAGAACGCGAAACCAAGGCCATAAAGAGGAGAATGCACTTCAGTTACAATGAAAACACTGTATTTGAATCTGGACTTCAGGAGAGACTTGGCGGCAGATATCCCCATGAGGATATCCTGCATTTCCCTAACAAAGACCCCTCCTGCAGTAACTCTAGGAGTGATATTTTCTAGCCGCCCACTGCTCTAAGCAGTGCAAAGGACAAATTTCTGCATATGATCACTCCAATATGCAGATGTTAGTTCACTTGTTCTGGCTGAGCTGATTTAAATATGACATCCAACTGTCGAACAAAATATCTGTGTACTGCGCATCAGTTCGCTTTGTCCTTTCTTACAGCTGCAAATCGTGACCATCATAAGCAGAAGACCTGAAGAGGCTATCTGTTTGCGTTTCGTCTCCCACGTTAACTGACGTAAAAGAGTGAGTGATATTTAGGTTAGGCGTACAGTGTTCGTTAAGGAGGGTAATACAATCGATAATGTTGTGGAGCTACATCAATGGAAATAGATGCGACACGTGTTACGCATAACGAGTCATCTCCTTCTTTGTCCACTAATGTTAGCTGACACTGAATTAGGTTGAAAAGGGGTTAGGGACGGTCAAGCCAAAATGTGGCATTAATCCATGAAGTTTTCGAATGTTGGTTTGACCCAACCACGTAGGAAGGTGTAAACTGCCTTGGTAAAGTCATCGAGATGCTAGTAACTAGCGTCTGAAGGCTGCTGGTGATTTATCATGAAGGCGGATTCACTGGCTCAAATGCATTCCCTCATTGTTACCTCCCAGATCCAATGGGTCTAAATGTCTTTCCATGTAACTATTCTTTATCCACCACATTTCTGATCGTCGTAGCTATTCTGAATTTTTCTTCTTTTTCTTACCTTTGTGAGTTATGTTGAACATAGCAACTTGAACTGCTGCACTTCTATGCATAGTTCTAGACCGGAACTCAGCCACTCAGTCAGACACGGTTTTATACCGCAAAATCGTGTTAACAATAAAGATGGAAACCAACACACATCCGTTTACTCACATCTTCAAATATTTCATTTAACTCAAAATTAAGTTGTATACTTCCTTAAACACAGTTTTTTGGTCAGATAAATCTAAAATCAGCAGAAAGCCAACAGATATCTTACGAAAACTTAGAAATTAGCTTTAAAAACCATGAACATGAAATTATTGAAAAAGCTGCATCACTTACATTATTACGACTTAATTTTCGCAAACCATCCAAGTATCTTTCAACTGGTTCCCCATTCACTAGCCAAGTTATTGATGCCGGTGGCTTTGTAATCTCTTCATCGACACTGCATCGTAATACAATGCTACTGTTTTCTGGTACAACAGAATTCTCAGGTTGATCAGCGAAATGAGGTTTGCCTTAAGTGGGTGGTATACAATATATAATTAATTTAATGACCTTAAAATAATGATAAAAATAACGTTTCCTCTAACAAAATTATAAATTGCCGTTGATTAAATAGAAGAACGCAAATGTATTTCATAAATCAATTGGTGAGTAGCATATAGATAGCTAGAAAACATCAGTTTTATTGGTTACAGGATTTCATCATGAGCTGATATCGGTTAGAGAGAACCATTGGAAAGCCTACACAGAGTACTGGACAGCTGTTTAGTCAGCCTAGCTTTAGACTCTTTAGCAACACGCATCCACCACCAGGGTCCGAATCCAGGACCTTCTGGTTACAAGGCTAGCGAGCTCATAGACCATTAAGCCACCGGCAGCCCATCTAATGGCCAGCTCATGAATTCTAACTTCTGCCAATCCATGACATAGAGCGACTTGCACTAGCCAATGTCTTCGTCAACTACGTGTCCTCACCTTCGACCTGCTGTACACGACTGGCCACGACTCCCCACCAGGACCCTAGGTGACCACCTACCTGAATAGGGCTAGTTGCTAGTGATCACCTCACTGAATTTCAAGTATAGGGATTTGATTGACTGGTTACAGGATTTCGCCATGAGTTGATATCGGTTAGAGAACCACTGGAACCATTCGACATTAGCTTTAGTTAAATGTGTCTTTTGTCTTTACTCTGTTGACCGTGTGAAGCAAGGAAACCTAGTCAAACACAAGGAATATTATTCATTACTGAAGTCAGTTCAACAGGGTGTAGTTCCCAACCTAGATATTCATCTTTGTCTCATTGTATTCTCTAATCCCTACTCACCTGCTGATCTCTCTTATCTGGAATCTTAATATAATCCAGTGAAAAATCTAAGGCTGATAGATCCTCTTCTTTGTATCCTAACAGTTAACTGAGCTATTGTATATCTATCTAACATTATTACTACTCGTCACATATGCTCTTCTTTAGTTTGAGTCATTAATTGGGTAGAGGCCTACAAATTACATATCTAATGGATTCATACAGTGATGAGGTTAAGCGCTTGAAATGCACATAGAGACTCCTGTGGAGACTCTACTTACGTATTTTTCATAAGTAGATGTGACGTCATCCAACCAAACAAAAGAAGACAATGCATATTTTCTAAGTTATGCATCCATGTATCGTGATTTTTCTAAATAAAAAGTAGGCATCCAGTGATCTGTTTTGTTACACTGTGTGCCGTTTTCAGATGAAAGCCACTGTCGTCTATTTAAACTTATGGATCAGTAAACTAAAGTCTGCATTTAATTTCATCTTACCCAACTCTTGGTGGTGTTTTTATTTGAATATAGTTCGGCTGAATAGTACTTTCTAAAACGACAAAGTGAGCTGAATCGAATCACAAACAGATTTTCTGAAAATCAATTCTTCTTGAAGTTTATCTACTAATAGTGACATATTGTGCGCGTAGATGTGCACGGTACGTTGACCTAGATGGGGTGTCAATTTCATGCTTGATACTTCGTAACTACTCAGTTCCCACCCATGTGGTTTCTACATCCTTTTTTGCTTGCAAAAAGATCTTCAGTTGGTAAATGGGGATATAAAGGCAGTTTCAGAACACCAGTAAAGTCTATCGAGCCTACTAGGATGGACCGTTGGATTTAAGCTATGATCTCGCCTGTAGAGACTCAATTCGTCGAAAAAGGTAGCCACAGGAAAATTGCTTCCACTTCACTGCTGACCAGCTTCAGACTGACAATTTCAAAATTAAAGTAGATGAGGATTTAAATGTCACACAATTGTGTACATAAAAACCTCTAGCACATCTCTCCCTTCTGAAGCAACAGTCTTCTTTCTCTAGTTTGGAAGTTATCTGTATCCAACATACACGTCCGATTCATTTTCACTCTGCAATGCCTCAGTAATATTCATGTAATGTTATTCGCTAATATATGTTCCTTATCTTTTCGCTTATGGAATTAGTTCATAGGCAATCTGTAGAATGTATCAGATTTAATATATATGTGGCAGGATGTCTGCCAGCCACTCGGAAGGTTCGGATACAATTTCTGGTCGACGCAATCCGAAACCTCGCATACTTTACTATCTGAAAGTAAGCCCAGGAATAGAGAAAAGTTCCTCTTGACATCTTTACTAGTGAATACAGACAACGTTAACATTGTTAGCAATAGAAAAGAAAAAGAAAAGCTCACTCACTTTCCACATCTACATCAAATACAACCTGAGGATTATCCACAAATGGAATGGCAGAGTCCAGACTGACAACGCTGCAACGATAACTTCCACGATTAATAATTTTAACATTTGAAATGTATAACTCTGTACCATGATTTTTAATACGTACTCCATACTCTTCAGGTAACTGTTTAAAAATAAGTGAAAATTAGTGTGACTAATTTTAAGTTCATACTAGGAGGTTAGCAGGCATATATATATACTAGTTGATGCTTTCAAAAATTCGGAAAATTAACTGCTGTTTTGGGCCGTTGAAATTCCCAGAGGCAATATTTATAGCTCACAAAATGTTGTAGTTGAATAGTCTTACCTCTGATGATGAGTGAAGCACAGCTGTCAATGAAATCGTAACTATAATCTTTAGTGAAAGGTGGGATGTTTACGTACCACAGCATTTTGAATAGTTGATTGTGCTTTTTAATGGAAAAATAAAACAAACAGTTCGACGAAGAGTTTCTTTTGAGTAATTTTATGTTCTTTAGCTGTGCAATCACGTTTATACTTAGACAAAGCAATAAAAAGACTCAGTTTTTCCGAATCATGTAATGTTGTATTTGAGCAACACATTTCGAACAATCTGATCACACAGGGACTTGTCATAGGAATATATATGAAAAAATTAAGAGTTAAGAGGTGAGAAAATCGACTACTTAGGTCAAGTTAAAAGGACATATTGAAGGTCAAAATAACAATGAAGATCAATCACTAAACCAAATAACAGAGGTAATAGTACATCTACCTTGGTTGGTTTCAAAACAAAGTTTACCAAGGAAGGTTTAGTATGATGACGAATTGTTGCTTTGAACACATAAAGGTGGTTTAAACTTCCTAATTGCTAGCTAGGGCTTCCACAAACTTTAGGATACGCCCTCCCCCAACAAGTTTTATAGATAGGTTTAAAAGATGTGTAAACTTCAATTTTATGTCCTATCTCTATGATACGTTTTGCAATAGAGGAGCTAGGTCTTCTGTTCTCACTATTAAAGGGTTCTTGGGATTCTGTTTGCTTCTGGAGCCATTTAGGAATTTGCTCTGAGGCCAGCCCTCACTTGCAAAGATCGACGAGTCCTACCTGTATATGTGTGTCCACACATGCATCCAAAATGGTAAATGCATTGGGATGTGACATCATTTTTCTCATGTCCTTAGGTCTTAGATGGATATATTGCCTCCACATTCTCAATTACTATGACCTTAACCACATAAAAAGTCTTTTTAACCATTTATATTACAATTTTCTCCTTAACTAAATTGGACAGTGATACATGAGGTCATTTTTCATCGGCCTAGTCGCTAATATCAATCGATACACATGAGAAGTTGAATATGCGTGACATAGTTACGTAAACAGACAAATTATTTAAACAATGAGTTGTAATCAGTAGGCACATAGAAACAATGGAAATGTAATTAAAACTCATTCTTTAAATAATTTGTCTCATTACATAACCCTATCACTCTTATTCAATCTCTTCTGTGTATTGATTAATACTAGTAACTATGCCTATGAAAATTCATTTGCTTCATAACTACAATCTCTTGCCGAAATTGTACATAAATGTGACTGTACATAGAAAGAATTAAATCGTCGAAAAGAGCCTATTAGTTGAACTAAATGTTTTGTTTTTCGTTAGTGCGTGGACAGTAACTAGTCATGAATTTCAATGAAGATTTCATCATGGACCAACATCAGCTGGAGATCATTTAAAAACCAGGGATCGAACCCGGAACCTTTGATTTATGAGGCCAGCTAGTTGACCATTCTGTCACTGGGACGTAAACCAGTGACCTGACCTCGAATTCTAATTTCTGTTAATTTGTGAGGCAGTGCTGTTGACAGTCAGTACTATTTGTGAACAATCACTTCATACCGACATGGTAGACCCTACTGCCCACGACTTCTCAGTATAGCTCCAAGACATCCAAATAGTTGCCACAAATGAGCTGGCACTTGGTTATTTAGATGATAATTTCTATGCACATTTGGATTAATTTCAATGTAGAATCCACAGGTCATTGAATCCCAAAGTGTTCGTGATCAAACTTCCGAGAAGTGTCTACTCGCGATGATATGAATGATTTTAAGCACTGACGTTACATAATGCGTGCAGTATTGAGTTGATTTTACGATTAAATCTGTCTCTAAGATAGCTGAAATTCCCACCGTTTATTATAACCTTCTTGATTATAAAAAGATTAGTTTTTGAGTCCTGCGGACTGTCGGTGGACAAACTTTTTAAAATGCTTTCAGACTTACATTTGAAATATGCCCGGTGAATATTAGAAAGGAAAATCGTCCCATCTATATTTACGAGCTTATGAAAGGATATCCTTAGTTTTTTATTGAGACAGATAATGGAATTAGGAGATTATTTTGCTGAAAAAACCGATGTCGCCAAGATCACGGCGACATACTACTGATCAGGAACCGTATAAGCGCCTTTATATATCAAGAGACAAATCAGCAATTTGCAATGAGATGACAAGACTCAGCGAAAAGCAGTCATTTCGCTCACTTCAGAAACCAGTCACATCCGAGTTAGAAATATCCGTTTCACAAGATGGATTTAGTATAATTTATTGGAACGTTGGTGCAGACAGAAGTGTAAATTACAGGTGGTAGAATGGGCTTCGAAGTCCAGCACATAAAGATCTTAGAACCTAGCATGCTGGAAAAGTATGCGCTCAGCCATTCTTTCACCAGCTCGCGTCGTGAAAGGACAGTTTCACCGGTATATTCAATAGCTGTTCTTCTGGGGTTCGTAAAGTTTGAAGATGACAAGGACGAATATGACAGAAGATTATGTGGAGCTACTGTTCACTCCATTGCAGACTATCTCTACTCTACAACAACACCAAGTAAAATCTCATTCACTTACTTGCACACTGAAGACGAAAATATGGAGGGAGCAATTCCTTTGACACCTTCAAAAACTAGTTGGCCTAAACTTTTTTGCATATTAGTCTGCCCACAACGTAACCGTACACATGACAACATTTTCCTTAGCGCGAAATTTTTTGCGAATTATTCGCAGAACTTAAGTTTTTCCCTCATTGTCATTCAGGAAACTAATACAAGAGTAGAGATTTCGGTTGTCTTGTAGAGTATGATTCCAATTTAATTCATTTCCTAAATATATCAAATGGTATGGGAGTAACTCTGAATCAAACTCTCAATTTGTCACTTAATTCGCAATTTCCAATCTATACGGAGTTCGAGCAGGTGAACTGTCACCATATTTTTCTTTGAAAACCGAAATTATTCAGTTCACCCTACGTGAGCTGTTTGACGACATAAACAGTGGTCAAGAAAGTAGGCATTAATGCATCCCTCTGTACACCACACTGATTGACTGTATGAGTATTTGAATATCACTACTTTCAGACAGTAGTGCTTCATGGCCACTTAGCCGGCCAGAATTTGAATGATTTCAACTGATTCGATTCTCTGAGCTCAGTCACACTAGGTAAACCATTGATGGGCGAAACAACCATTCTGTGTTCGAAATCACTTCCATCTGGATTGTGTACCAAGCCCTAATGTTTGGTATTAGTAGTATTCAACTACTCACCTCATTCTGTCAGTAGTATACGGTGTGGTGCATAAAATGAATATTTTCGGGGAAATATTCGTAGTACTGTAACTTATCTATCATTACACACGCATCATCTAAGGCACTTAATTTCAATTGTATATAATGCATGTAACAATACTGAATAGTGATAAACATTGTTCAAGGAAATAAATAATAGTGAAATAATGTTAAGTGAAGATCACAACAGCATTTCGACAGAGTGTGAGGTGGAAGACAGCTAATGTTTAAAGCTATTAAGCAGGCCATTATGCACAGTCCCTTTGTTACATATTGGAAATAAGTTATCATGATCACCGACAAGAAATTTACTTTTTCTATTTCAACAATCGCAATCCAACTTAAGCTCTTAAAGTAATTCGGAAACATGTATCATTTTCAAAATCATAACGCACTTTTAAATTTCTCTTCTGCCCGCTTTTTTTCAAAAGAAACAATATTAAAAAAGAAATATTCACATTATAAATCTCCTACTAGCGCATACTAACATGAACAAACCTGGAGAAACCAAATTTCGGACAAATCGCCTCAATGCCCCTTATGTAGGTCTTAAATCAGATGACCTCCCTGAGTAATAATTAGTTCAAAATTACAGATTAAAAGTCAATAGCCATCCACAGATTAGCCAGTGATTTCAGTAACTTATCATGGACTATGATGTTTGGGTCCCATATTGGCAGATTTCTTTCTAAGCAAACTAGAGAATGGTCCTTTGAACAACCACCTTATCAGAAAATTCTCTTTTTATTGCCGGTATATGGATAATACCTTCATTCTTTGTGAAAATGACTTGTACAGGAACGTAATAATAACTCAGTTCAATAAAAATCAAATTCACATGTGAAAAGGAGTCCCAAAACAGAGTTGCCTTCCTAGACGTCCTCCATATAAGAAAACCAGGTGGTAGTATAAAGAGAAATCTGAATAAGAAAAGTACATGGAAACGACAATATACATATTTCGAAAGCTTTGTTCCTCTCCAGTACAAGAGAATTTTAACAAAGACCCTCAGCTACAAGGTCAGAGCTATATGCTCAGAAGACATAATTGAAGATGAACTTAGGACTGTATATGACACCCTAATCAAAAATAGCTACGCAGAAAAGTTCATCAAGATACACATGACCAAGAAAGCAGAAAAGGACTATTCTCCTTCCGTGAATAAGAAGTCTTTATGTATTCGACTACAGTCCAAGGGTGACGCACCTAATGAAATAATTGCTTTTTCGTGCCCGTGAACACCTACCAATGTGACTAAATAAAGGTGTAGGAAAAACCGTGAACAGTTCGATATTAAACCACTTGGTCGGAAGCGGCCACAAAGCCAACAATGAAGAATCCTTTTCTATTACGTATCGGGTACCAAATAAATTTCCAGAAGCATCCAGATACCGAATACTCCAAACAGCAGAGGCTATTGCAATTCGTCAAAAACAACCGCTGCTCAATGCACAGAAGAAACAGGTCTAACCACTTTACTGCCTTTTCTGATGTGGCCCTGCATCCTGCACATATTCATTCTCCTACCCCCTGTCATTACACTTGCATTAACTAACCTTTTGTTTTCTTATTTAAACGCAGTTGTTAACCTACACACTGACACATATTCAATGTACACATATTTTGGACTATAATCTATTAACAATCTAATTGCAAATAACTTTTGAAATTCTGATCTAAAAGATTCGATGTTACTCTTCAAAAACCACTAATGTTGTCAATAACAGTCGTTCTTTCATTAATATTGATATATACACAACTGTAGAACCTGATGGTAAAGCTATCGAAAAGAAAACTTCTGGATTCAAAAATTATGAACAGCTCTGTTTCAGTCGACTGCCTCAATAACAATGTGATAAATATCAGAATTTACGGTCATTGGCTAGACTGGGTAAGGAATCATGTGTACTACATGCATGTTTGTATTCCTGACTTTCACTAATTCCCCAATTCGATGACTACGAGACTGTTGAGAATACGCTGAAATACCAGTTAAGCTCCAAACTGTACCTAGTTGTCTTGCATATTTTCACACTCACTTAGAAATATGTACACAGTAAAAAACAAAAAGTAACAAAAATTTTCCACCTGAATTGTCAAGCACCGTAAACTAATTAAATTTGAGAGAGGAGAATATTCACGATTTAGATAAACGTGAAAGCAACTCAGTACTTCAGCTAATTATGCCACTTATATAGTACACTCAATTGATTGCAATTCTTATAACACTCTGTAGGAAATGATTTATGAGTAGTTGTCTGAACATTTCAGGCTAAGATGTGTAAAATACTAAATTCCGTCTCAAGGAGTATATAATTGCTCTCATTCCTTCATCTTAAAAGAAGGTATCCTAAACAAATAGATGAACTCTGATGCTCCAAGGATCAGCTGATTAGCTAAAGTTGAAGAAAGCTCAGAGAACACAATTCAGGACAAGGGTGCATTCAAGCAGGCGGTATTATAAACTACAAGAATATATGTCACCACAAAATGGACAGCAATAATACTACAAGTGATGATTGCAAGGATTCGACTGGTTTCAAGTTCGATCATATATTGATATAAGTTAGAGAGTCATCGAAACGCGCGGAGTACTGGACAGCTGTTTCCTCCTAATTTGAGGTAGTGGCAAATTAGTAGAAGTTAGAATTCATAGCACGGCTAGTGGATTTAGTTGCGAAAACTGAATAATCAGTAGGATCGCCTCATAACCTGAAGGTCCTGTATTCGATCCTCAGTAGGATCATGGGTGCGTAAAGTCGAAGTGTCTCAGGCTAGAACGAAGCAGGTGTTCACTATTACATGGTTTTAAACGATTCTCTGACCGGTAGAACAACTAGTTGACAGTATCAAGCTAGAAGAATTGAATTCAAGTTTTCCAATCGTCCGCTAACTAATGTCAACTCGTGATGAAACCTGCAAACCAACACTTGATCATTAATCTGATGCCTATCAGCGATTGGCTTTATATTGGAAGTTACCTGTAGTTCGGGTGAGAAGTTGTAACCAGTGAAATATACCAAGTCTGGTAAGAGAAGAGCTACTTGTCGGTGACATTGGCAAGCAGTTGCGCTACATTTATCACCAACTAGCAGAATTTGGAATTCATGGGCCACTGGATCAGACTCCAGTGAGTGAATGGTCTAGGAGCTCGCCTTGTAACCGGGCTACCCCGGGTTCGAACCCCAGTGAGTGTGTACTGAGAGGAGTCCCAAACCAGGACGAAACAGCTGTCCAGTACCCCTAGGTTTTTCAACGGCTCTCTAACTGATTTCAACTCACGAACAAACCTGTAACCAGTACATATATTTAAGCAGTGAATATACAAGATGTCCTTTAAAGTTACATCTTCACATAATTAGTGTTTATTGTTTTCTTACCCCTAGTGATCTATCACTTGTCTTCTAGTATAGCCATAAATCAGAATTACAACTGTTGTAAGGTTCATAAAAGACATTAAACGTGAAAACAGAACATTCCTTTTCGATTCAGTTTAGACTTTCCCATCAATTTTTTTTTTCCTTCACGTTCCCCCAGTGGAACATGGGGCTTCAAGCTAGAGTCTTGAAGGTTCTGTAGCAGTGTTTATTTTACAGGATGGGGTTGCTAGCTTCATGCCCAACCTTCCCTCTTTACCAGTCTTACTACTGGCTTAGCGAGGTAAAGGAGTGCGTCGGCCGGGGATCGAACCCCGGACTATGTGCATGGTCGGCGAGCGTCCTAACCGCTATGCCACCGACGCACACTTCCCATCAATTGATTGGACCGAAATACTCAGTTTGGAGTTGATTTGTCGGCTCCTTGTGAAGATGCTTCGACGATGTCTCGTCATGTAACTTGAAGTCAGTTAGTGGATAGTTCCTAGCAGCGGAATCCAGGATAATGCGCATTTCGTCCTATTTGGGACTCTTCGGCTAAGTGCGTCTGCATTCCCCGGTGATTGATGGTGTGCCCCCACCAGAGATTGAACCCAGTGATCTCCTAGTCTACTGGATAACGCTTGGCGTTTGAAACTACGGGCACTGGGTTCACACCTCAGTGGGAACACCATCACTTGCCAGGGAATGTATGTGCACCCAGTTGGCGAGTTCCAAACAGGACGAAATGGGCGTCATCCTAGATTCCACTGCTAGTCACCATCCACCACTTGACTTTAAGAACATCCCTGATTAGCCAAAAGATAATAGAATAATAAATCAAACTGACTTTAGAACTTACCAGTTTAACATTTCTATACAATTGATAATTCATATTTGATTTGACTTTCTGCATAAATTCCCAAAGAATTTCTCGTAAAGGATTTCCATGAGCAATACATTTAATTGACAATGATTCATTGACAAGAACAATTTGACTTTTGGTAGAATGAAAAAGAATTTTTGGTCTATCTACTTCTAACTTGAATTTCAATGAATCTTTAGACACTGAAATTGCATTGGAATAGTGTAATTTTATTTGTGGACCAGTTTTCATTGTACGTAGAATTGGATTGTTAATAACGCATGTATAAGTCAGCGTTTTACTGGTAATCCAATTAAGATTGATTAAATACAAGTTGCCTGAATAAATTAATCAAAGATAAGTTAATTGGACAGATATTTTCAAAATATAAGACAGTCAGTCATATTTGTCTGATGGTTAACATAACACAGATAAGAAGTTGATTAATTAGAAAAATAAAGATAAAATAGATTATGCTGTCGGAAGAGTTAAAAGCCGTTATGCCACTATTCGCCCGAATAGATTAGTGGTAACGTCTCTGACTGCAGCAGTGGGTGACGCGGGTTCAAATCTCAGAAGGGACATGAGTCCAAGTGCGTCCGTGGTATAGCGGTTAGGACGTTCGCCGACCATGCACATGGTCTGGGATTCGATCCCCGGCCGACGCACACCTTTACCTCGCTAAGCAAGAATTAATGCTGTTAAAGAGGTAAGGTTGGGCATGAGGATAGCAACCCCATCCTGTAAAGTAAACACTGCTACAGAAACTCCAAGCCACTAGCTTGAAGCTCTATGTTCCACTGGGAACGTGAAGGAAAACAAAAAAAATGCCACTATCCACTAGATACCGCCTCCAGCCAAACAGTAACGCGTTTGTTTCACAGACTGATCTAACACTTTACGTGATCGTGTGTTGGCTTAGATGAGAAAGTTAAAAGTGAGACGAAATAATAACTCTGGGTGTTTCTACACTTTCAATGGTTCTCTAGATGATACGGGTTCATCAGTGAACCTGATTTGTAACGACGAAATCCCAAGTATTTCGGTCTGTGCTCAGGAAACCAATCGATGCGACCTTCTGTATAGCTTACCGAAGTTCCACAAGTTCTAAGTAGTATTCCAACAATTTCAACATACAATTTAACATTATAAAATTTACAATACACTTGAACTTACATCAAAAAAACAAAACTACCTTGACAGTGTCATCAGGTGACTACACTTTCCAAAGGTTTATTAGGCACAAAATACACACTACACAGCAAAATCAATTAACTGAACCTCACATTACAGTCTTACTATATCCTGTTTAACACAGACCACTTTGTACTAGACACTCACCTGACACCTTTTATAACCTTGAACTGACTTGTCAACTTTCCTGCCCCACACTCTACAAATCTATTATGACTAATCACCACTATTGTCTCCCACTCTACAATATTTTGTAATCGAATTCAGCCTAGCACGTTTGTCACACAAATACGACTATTTAGTTATTTTGACACCCCATAACTAATCTGTTATTCTACGTTAAAAAATGTATCCGCCGCATAACTGGCCATTATTGTAACGACAGTAAATATTATATTTCATAATTGTAAGAACCTGAAGAGAAATTACTGAAAAGAATATTTTTCATTATAATAAAGGTTTTTTGTATTTCCCAATGAATGAAAAATAAAGTGATATTTTTTTACTGACGTTTCGTTATTTAAAGCTAGTAGCTTTAGACTTCGGATCATCACATCCCATCAGCGCAAAAGTATCAGTTGTTTCAAGTCTTCTTAGCCGAGCACACTCTTTCATGTTAACGGATGAGAAAGAAAAAGAAATATCAAACATTACTGAAATTCTCAAACAAAATAACTACCCAAAGAACTTCATCAACAAAATCAACACTGACATTAAGTATGGTCGAAAAAGGTGTTTCGGAAACATGAACCTCAACAGCTGTCATTCCATACAGAACAGAGACGTCGGACGATATCAGAAGAGTACTCAATAAGCTGAACATCAGAGTTTTATTCCAAACATCAGACACACTGCGAAGCAACCTTGTCCATACAAAAGACCAAATCCCTAAAGATTCTCTAGCCAGTTGTGCCTATAAAATGAAATGCTTGCTTGGAATGTGATGCGATATACATCGTACAAACACCACCAAAGAGAAATCGAAATCAGAAGAAATGAACACCGTCGAGCATCTTTTCGACCACCGAGAAATCCACTTGGACTAGAAAAGCTTGAAAAATCATCAGCCAGCCATAGGTCGTTTACACGCAATAGAATCAGGCCACAAAATTGATTTTGACAATATTGAAATAATCCAGAAAACTTTCAGAAATCACACAGTACGTCTAATATCAGAAGCACTTCATATCAAACAGAATCCAAATTGTCTGAACTGAATAGGAATGATGGACTAAAACAGAATTTGACCTGGCTACAACACCTCCCTCCCCCATGAACTGATAAAATCAACACGAATGTGACAGGCAATTGCATGATGCAAACACACGCTGCTTTTATAATTTTAAACACTTATTCAATCCAACAATCTACACCTGGTTTTGTATCTTCACCAAATGGCCAATTTGACAGGGAAAAATGCCCCCATGCTGAGAAACGATGGATGATTAAGTTGTTATATATAAGCTGAGTGGATTTTGTAAATTCCGGTTTAATTGTACTTTGATGAAGCTAATAGCAGCAGCATTTTAAATAGCGAAACGTCAGTAAAAACAATTTCGTTTTATTTTTCATTCATTGGGAAATACAAAAACCTTTATTGTAATGAATATCATGTACCTAGTGCCCAAATTTTTCCAAACTGTTAAAAGTGAACTTGGTTTGTACATATATAAGAATATTCTTCGTTCAGACTGACTTTCAATTCATGATATGGGAATATTTCACACTATTAAATCTTAAAACCAAAGTATGCCGTGAAATTCCTAAGAACCGACAAGAATATTACCGTCAAGATGGGACTGAAACTGTGTCTGTAAGAATTACACAGAACAAAACGCGTTTCTCACAAACATAGTCCAAGATCAAGTGGTCACCCCACAGCGTAACCATTGGATTCAATCAAACAAAAGTCGCAACAGTATGACAACAACGCGCCATCACACAACAGCAGAGGGAAGCATTAAAATCATGAATCGAGCAAAAACAAAGACGCAGTGAGGATTAGGTCGAAATAAAATATATAAATTTGAGTTGAGAACGATGATATATAGGTCAGGAGAGTCGGGTAGTAATTACAAAATTATTTGCAATATTGAAACAAGTATCAATATTGTAAGTGGATTTTTCATGGGGGAATTTTTAGGTCCACTCTTCTGCTACAATATAAATAAGCAAGGATTTAAAAACATTTTTCAAAAGAATGGTCACTGAACAAAGAATACTGTTTTCGATAACCTGCTCTTCATCAGCTTCTACAGTTATATGCATCCATAATAGTGAGTGAATTAGTGTTATTAATAGCATAAGTGTTGTTTAAATAACATAAAATTAATCAATAATATAAATAGATTACAGTTCAATAGCGTCAACATAACTATAAAATGAATATCAGAAAAATTAGGAAAGGTAGTAATACAAATTCATGAATTTATAGTCTCTACTGAAGGTCGACCAGGGCAGTAGTAGGGGCTGGACTTGCTTCTCTTGCACACAAAGTATTGGTTGTTTCACGCCAACCACGATAGCCTTTGATGTTTGGAGCATGCGGTACCCTGTAGATGATAGAGAAGGATTCTTCAATGCTGGCTTTTTGGCCGGTTTGGACTAGATGGTCTAATATCGAACTGTTGATGGGTTTTACTACACCTTTATTTACCAATATTGGGAGATGTTCTCGAGGACGAGAAATCAAGTTCCTAGAGCAACGGCTGATATAACTCTCTCCACAAGCGCAGTAATACTCCGAAATTTTTTCAATGAAAATATCTAATAATCCTCGGTCAATTTGATAGTAAGACGTTGGGTTGCTACAAAACCTTTTCTTCACGTCATGTTTTTAGACCATTCTCAAAGTTTTTCATCCTAACGAGAAGGTTCAGCAAAGCAAAAAAGTAAACTGGAAACTCTTCAACATAACAATTAATTTAAAATACAGAACAAAAACTTTCTAGGCACATTTGTTCGACGTCTAAGAACACTAGTTAAACTTGTCGTGATAGTTATCATTCTCTATGATTCCATGTAAAATAATGGGAGGTTTGGATTTCTCTTCTACATTAGATGGTTCGAGGCAATCGGCAGGAAGCGTTGGACCTAGGTTTCGTGCTAGTCGGCACTCATCAGCAAGGCGTATCTGCAACCTTGAAGGAACTCATGTCCTTTCTAAGATTCGAACCCGCGTCACCCAGTGCTGCCGTCAGAGATGTTACCACTGAGCTATTCAGGCTCGCGACTGACCTCCTTCTCTTCTATAACTATTTTATCAAAAAATACCCATTAACGTGTGTCTTGGTGTTTCAGCAGTAGAATGCACCTCAACCACTCATGTGATCCACACTTAAACCTCGCCTAGTTTACCCGTCATCATCAAGCCTGAGAAAGAGAGAAGGTAAGCGATTCCACTTCATAAAAACAACATCTCTGTCACTAAAACTCCAAAGCTCTGAGCCTTGTGCTCCACTGGGAACATCAAAAGGGGTGATAAAACACAGCACCATGTTAGCTGATGAATTTTTCTTTCCACAATGTACAGTGAATGTGTACACTGTCCATCTAGTTATACTACACATGAGTAAATACAGACTGTCAGTAATTAGGGCAGTAGTTACACGTCTTGATGACAAATTGACATCAGACAGAGGAATACTGACAACTGTGCAGCAATATACAGACTTGTATTGTCTTAGTTTACGACTATTCACCAGTATCTAACCATGAATTCACAGCTAGAGATCGAATCCATTAAATTCAGGTTAAAAGGTGAGCTTATTTACCATTCAGCCACCGGGACAAATTCCAGGAGCCTGTGAAAACTGATTTAGTGCTTACTGGTGATTGACTGCAGGATGAAGTATTTTTTTAAATTGAGAAGTTGTGACCAGCAGGGTCCGCCAAGTTGATTGGGAAGACAAAAATACTCGGCAATGACATTAGCTGATATCACAAAATTTGACAGAAGCTTAAATTCATGGACTAGCCACCGTATTCCAACCCAGCGGTGAGTATTTCGCAACTAGAACAAGACTCACGTGCAGTACTCTCTTTTTTTGTTCAGTGATTCCCTGAAGTGAAGTTGTAATCAATCATTCAATCCCAACAAAACCAACTTTTGAAGTAATAAGCAGTTGAAATTCCCACCACATTT